AACCCCGACGCCTTCCTGCACTGACGGCGGCCCAGCTCGGTGGCTCTCTGCCTGGGTTTCCTCCGGCCTCAGCTTCCAGCAGGCTGGAACCTCTCCACATGGCATGTGAGCTGCGCTGCCCCTACCGAAACACACGCACGCACCACCCAAAGTACCCTGCTTGCTCCAGGACCCAGGCCAACGGCACCCTTTCTACCCCCACAAGCCCCATAGGGCCTGGCTCCCAGCCCGCTCAGCGAGCCTAGTAAATGGCTGATCTGGAGCTCAAGGCAGGTCCTGGGCCTTCCCCCAAGGCCAGCAGGCTTGCCAAGCTTCCCCAGTCATTCAGGGCCAAGAGCCCTCAGACACTCACAGCCCCGGCCATTCTCAGATGGCAGCCCCCAACCCAGCCAGCTTCCCCATCTCACCACTAGGGGTCAGGGGAGGCCAGGGCAGGAGACAGAGAGTAAGGAGTAGCCATTGCACCCCTGATGATGCAGCCCCCATTCCATGTTCACCCCAAGACTCTGCCTGCCCAGGCCAGCAGGTTTCTGGCCACAGATGGCCCCTCTGGCTTGTTTTCATTCTCATTCGCCACCACCTCCTGCCGCCATGCCCAGACTGGGCCCCTGAGCCTCTCCCAAGCCCAACCCAGATCCAGACGGTTCTCTGGTTCTCTTTCACGGCTTAGCCAAGCAGAGTTGGGAGTGATCAAAAGGAAGTTTACTAGGAGATCAAGGCATCTGGTGAGACAGGGAGGAAGAACAGGAAAAAGCCCTGGTGGGGAACAGGACGTTGGTGGGGCACAAGTTCTGGACCCCAGTGAGAGGGAAGTTGAGCCCAGGAAAGGCCAAGCTTGGCGGGCTCAGTCTCCAGCCCGGCCCATGTGACCTGAGAGGTGCAGGCACTCTGTGCTTTCCGCTTCCCGCACCCCTGCCCCCGGCTTTGCTCAGCTATGCTCCACAGTGGCAGGTCCACCATGCTGGCAGACCTCTGTCCTTCCTCCCAGATACCCTCAGACTGCTCCCGTGTAGGCGGGGCTCCCACTGAACTGGGACCCTCAGGTGGCACCAGCATCCAGCAAGTGCCTGTTATGCAGAAGCTAACCAGCCAGCACAGGCAGGGCTCTGGAACTAGACAAATGCAGGTTCGAATGCAGCTCTGTCCACCAGGAGCTGAGCGTGGGCTTGGCTGAGTCCTTACCTTACTGACTCCCAGCCTCCCACCTACGGAAGTCAGGCAGGAGGGGGGGTTCTCGCAGGGTGGTGTGAGGGCCGAAGGAGGACAGGCACCTGGCATACAGCGGACGCTCGGTAAATGCGTCTCACTCGTTAGGTCATTCAGGGGACCGTGCGGTCATCATCAGGCAGTTCTGCCTCTTCCCAGCCCTTTGGCATGTCTCAGCCAGTGAGGGGCCCCGAGTCCTACTGGGCGAGCCCATCCCACCCTGCTCTCCACACCCCATCAACGAGGTCGGGGGCATTGCTCAGACACCAGCTAGCCAGGTCTACCTGCAGTAAGAAAAGGCAGCTCCACCCTTCCAGCCCAGACCCCCAGCAGCCCTCTCCAACCAGCCATACCAGTCCAGGGGCACCACCCCACTGTTCTTCAGGACCAGGAGCACTATGGAGGGTGGGGACATGAGTGGTGCTGCCCCAAAATTGAAGTCCAGCTTCAAAGGGGTGAAGACAGGGGGGATCTGACTCGTGCTGTGTGGAGCAGAAAAATGGGCTCAGAAGGGATGGGGGTGTCATTGTCTGTCTGGATAGAGCCCCCCCCTCCACACACACACACACACACTACAAGTGGGAAGTGGAGACAGGGGCAGGGTGGGCTAGCACCCAGACCTCAAGTCAGCCCCTGCTTTCTCCAGGCCCTCTAGGGATGGACATGATGACAAGCAGCATTTTACATTTTTTTAGAGAGATTTTTGCTATAGGATGCACGTGCTTGCCAGAGAGACAGAAAGTGAGAAATCACCCCGCAGGGGGATGGCCATGCTGCAATCCCTTCTCCTCTTGGGATTTTGGACATGCATACACACGTGTTCAGTGTGAGTTTTAAGCTGCTGGGTTCAGGACTCAAATTACGGTTGACTACCTGGGAGTCCAGCAACTTAACCATTATCCTATGTCCTGGTCCCCAGAAGCAGCATCTTACACAGGGTCTGGATCCGGGTGTGTGGGGGGGGCAAAGTCTCCACGAACATCCCCGGACAGGCCCTGGCCACCCCCGGCCCGGCTCACCTGTGCCTGGTGGGCACCTTGTAGGTGAGCTCCCAGGGGGTGGGGTCACGCCCCAAGTAGGCATTGAGCAAGTCCAGGGAGAAGAGGTGCCACAGATGCTTTCGGGAGATGCCCTTGGCGCTGCCCATGGAGCAGATGTCCGGGGCGGAGAGTAAGGGGTACACAGCCGTCAGGGAGACGCCACACAGCTGCTGCCGCCCCCCGACCTTGTTATCTGTGGGAGAGGCCTGGGTTTACCTCCCAGCTCCTCCAGTTCAGGGCGGGCAGCTTGGGTTCAGGAGTCCTGGCAATGGGCCCCGGGAGCCCTTTTATTTATTTTTTTTTTGAGAGGTTTTTGCTATAGGGTGCGTGTACTCGCCAGACAGACAGAGAGAGACAGAGATAGAAAGCGAGAAATCACTCCCCAGGGTGGATGGTCATGCC